ATTGTGGGCCGCCGGGCCTCCCTACCTGAACGTCGTCTCCAGACTTCTCCACCGGAAAGAGAGAGAAGGAAGGGGCGGGCAGACGGGTCACTTCCGTATTCCGGAAGTGTACCTCTGAGGTCACGGAGGGAATCCCGGCTCCCGGAAGAAGCCTCTATTGCGGTTTCCAAGGAGGCTAAGCCTGCCGGCGACCAAGATGGCTTATTAAGGACTCCGGGTGCTGCGTGTCGCTGTGACCAGATCTGCCTATGAGACCGCACGGGGCGGACACGCGCGGGAGAAGAGACGAGCTAGGATTCAGGTCGTGGTGGCCGCTGCTAGACGGACTTCCGCCATGCCATCAGGGCCTCAGACCAGGCACCCTGGAAGCGACAGCGCACCTGTTGGTACGGAGGAGAATAACAGCAACAACAAAACCTTGTAATGCGACTTTGGCCGATTTTGCACACTACAGCGCAGTACAGTAATAAATTGCTCAACATTTACTTGCTGCCCTGCGCTAAGCATCTTATAGTCGGTGCTTCAGTTAATTCTCTCGACACAAACTAGGTACTTTTGATTTCCATTGTACAGATAGGTGTATGAGCTTGAGACCACGTGGCTGTGTGGCTGATTTGGAGTTATGACATAAAAGCCCTATATTTAGCTGGGCGGTGGTGGCGCACGCCTTTAATCCCAGCACTCGGGAAGCAGAGGCAGGCGTATCTCTGAGTTCGAGACCAGCCTGGTCTGCAAGAGCTAGTTCCAGGACAGGCTCCAAAGCCACAGAGAAACCCTGTCTTGAAAAGACAAACAAACAAAAAGAAGGCTTAGTGGTGTGCCTGGTGCCTGTGAAAGAAGAGGGTGGCAGAGCCCATGGAACTGTAGTTGTGAGCCAAAGCCTGTGCGCCGGGAACTGAACTGGGTCCTCTGCTGGATCTGGAGCAAGAGCATTTGCACTGAACGTCTCTCCAGTCCGAAGCCTGAGAATTTTAACTTAAATGGAATTAATAGAGAGACAGGAGCTCAGGAAAATAGAACACAGCCAGTATGTGTGTGACTTCTCACCAGTCAGGCGTCTGTTTTGCTTTTTTGCATGTTTGTTTGAGACAAGGTCTTAAGTAGGGGAAGCTGGCCCTGAACTCCTCCTCCCCCTTTGCCTATAATTAGAGGTCTGTGCCACCTTGTGCAGCTGAGACCTCTCTTTAAGGACTGGTTTGTCTGTCTGCAAATCTTCCATCAACTGTCGATATTCTTTAAAGACTGGGACTCTTGTTCTCAGGGAGGGTGTTGCTTAATGGAGTATATTAGCAGACAGGAGAGCTATGAACTGAGCTTGTGCTTTGAGTCCAAACTGTATGAAGCAATGCTGTGAACCTCGAGGAGGGAAGGCTCCCTGGAGGGAGCAGGGCTGATGGCAGCAACATAGTCACTCAGACTAGCCTCCTGCTCTCTGTCCTGATGTCTCTGCTTCCTGAGAGCTGGGATTACATGCATGCACCACTATCCTTGGTCCTTAATCTCTTTTGTTGTTTTGTTTTGTTTTTCTAAATCTTTTTTTTTGTTTTGTTTTGTTTTTGTTTTTTCGAGACAGGGTTTCTTTAGAGCCTATCCTGGCACTCGCTCTGCAGACCAGGCTGTCCTTGAACTCACTGAGATCTATCTGTCTCTGCCTCCTAAATGCTGGGATTAAAGGCATGCACCTCCTTCTCCTCCTCTTCCTCCTCTTCTTCTTTTTTTTTCTTTTCTTGTTTTTTAATTTTAGTTTTTCGAGAAAAGGTTTCTCTGTGTAGCTTTTTAGCCCATCCTGGAACTCACTCTGTCGTTGAAACTGACCTCAAACTCATAGAGATTCACTTATCTCTGCCTCCCGAGTGCTGGGATTAAAGGCGTGCACCACCACCCCCTGGTGCTTAGCCTCTTCTTACCTGACTATCTTGCCATCTTCCCTACTGAGACCTCTTGCTTACATGTTGTTACCACTACAGTTCTTCCCAACTACCATCTGAGTCTCAGCCCCTAGACCCTGATCAAAACAAACAGGTGGTGTGTGGACTTGAACCATCCCTTGGTGAATATTCCATGTGAACACCTACTCCATTACTCCTGCCATTTCCATGCTGTCCTCCATGCCCTGGACATCCCTCTAGCTTTGCAGCTTCAAGGACACGCTCAGGCACCGCTCCTTTACTCTCGCCTTCTGTTCCCTTGCTGCCTCTTGAGAAAAAGCATAGTGTCTATCAAACTATGCAGTTTGAGGAGAGGTCTGAGCGGGGATAGACTTCGGAGGGGCCTCCAGCATCCCCCCTAACCCCAACAGCATCTGGGAAGGTAAAGTTACCATGAGACTAGTGTGTTCAGTGGGTAGCAATGGGGGCTGTCGAACCCGCATCACAACCAGTGACTTGCACCCTCATCTAACTGAACTCCCCCAGTGACCAGAAGAGGCAGGATTTTTTTTATTGTTATTATTCATTTTATTTATTTATTTATTTTACAAAAGTTTATTACAATATACAACAGGCTCCAAGATAACACTTCATTCTATCTGCAGGTGGCAATGATGTTATAGTAAGGAATCCAGATGTTTAACAGGCTCCAGGATAACACTTCATTCTAGCTGTAGGTGGCAAAGATGTTATGGCAGGGTATCCAGATGTTTAAATAGGAATGGAGGAGGGTCACCATCATTGAAGATAAGAGGAACAGCTTACTTTTTGCCAGATTCTTAATTCCACCTGTGGCCAGGGGTCCCTTCCCCACGGCCTTGGCTTTTAGCTCCTTGAGTTTTTTCTGTTCCTCTTTTTGTTTCTGCTTGAAAGCCTTATCTTCGTCGTCCATCTCCTTGGCCTGCTTCTTGGGCTGTTTCAGGTGCTTCTTTTTGCCACCTTCGTGGCCCGACATGGTGCCCACAGACGGCCCCTTCCCAGACCCCTGAGGCAGGATTTCTCATTTTGCAAACTAAGGAACAAATAAAATGCTGCAAGGGTGTTGTGACACATATCTGTGGTCCAAGTATTTGGAAGGCTGAGGATTGATGCAAGTCTGAGGCCAACCTACTCTACATGAGTTCCAGAATGACAGACACAGCAAGACCCTGTCAGAACAGTAAAAACGAGTGTCTTTGCTTCTCTGCATGCTTTGGTAATTAAATGCCCTGACAGAAGCCACTTGAAGAGGAAGGGTTTATGTCAGTTCACAGTCCAAGGTCTACTCCACAGAGGTGTGGAAGTCATGGCCACAAGAACTTGAAGCCACTGGCCCCATCACATCTGTATCTGGAAGCAGAGAGCCATAAATGAATGTATATTACTGTTCAGCTGCTCTCAAGCCCAAAGAATAGTGACACTCAGTGAGAAGGTCTTCATAATTAATGTGATTAAAAATCATAGCCAGGTCTGGTTGTGCAGGCCTTTAATTGCAGCAGACAGCTCTCATGACAGTTCAAGGCCAAGCTGGTCTACATGATGAATGTCAGGCCAGCTAGAGCTACATAGTGGGACCCTGTCTCTAAAAAGAAGGAAATCATGGCCAGCCTGGTCTACAAAGTGAGTTTCAGGACAACCAAGGCTACACAGAGAAACCCTGTCTCAAAAAGAAAAAGAGAAAATAAAGGAATTATTGGGCTGGAGAGATGGCTCAGAGGATAAGAGCACTGACTTTTTCCAGAGGTCCTGAATTCAATTCCCAGCAACCACATGGTGGCTCACAACCATCTGTAATGAGATCTGGTGCCCTCTCTGACCTGCAGGTATACATGTAGGCAGAACACTGTATACATAATAAATAGATCTTTTTAAAAAAACATTTTTAAAAAGTATTTTAAAAGAAAGAAAGAAAGAAATTGTCAACCGGTTTGGTAGCACACGTCTTTAATCCCAGCACTTGGGAGGCAGAGGCAGTCTTATCTTTGTGAGTTTGAAGCCAGCCTGCTCTACAGAGTAAGCTCCAGGACAGGCTCCAAGGCTACAGAGAAACCTTGTCTGGGAAAAAAGAAGAAGAAAGAAGAAAGAAGAAAGAAGAAAGAAGAAGAAGAAGAGAAGAAGAAGAAGAAGAAGAAGAAGAAGAAGAAGAAGAATCTTTGACACTCCCAGAGGCCCTTCTCAGGTGATTCTAGGTGGTGTCAAACTGATGATGAAAACTAATCATCTTAACTCCACCCCTTATCAACCTGACCACAAACATATCACTTTAAACTACAGTCCCTTGTCCCCATAAGCTCATGGTCGCCTGGTAACACAAGGTACACTAGGCACACTTTTAAAGTTCAATACCACAGTCATTAAAAGTATCAACACATTAAAAAGTCCAAAGTCTCTTGAGTTCCTATAAAAGTCACATCCTTCCAACATGCAATGGCACAGAGTACAAATTCCTGCTCCACAGTGGAAGAACCAGGATGTAGGAGGGAACAGTCACAACAAAGCAAACCCAGAATCTGTAAGGCAGATGCCTTACAAGTCCTAAAGCTCTGTGTTCTGGATCTGGGGCTTGCAATATAATCACCTGGGCTCCAAAAAAGCTTCCAGTGTCTCCCGCCTCCATCTCCTTTACACATAGATTCTCTGCTAGGTTAAGGCCACCACATGCAGCCTTCTCAGTCCATGGTTCAATGGTCCTGGCATCTCCAATATTCTGGAGTTGCCACTGCAGCTTCAGGCTCCACCTTGACATCTTCACTCCTAATAGCTTCTTAGGGTCTCTCAGCAGAGCCTTGATACTCATCCCCAAATCTTGCAGCTTTCATGCCTTCAAAACCAGTAACACCTAGACAACAGATCTAGCACAGCCCCCTTGGACTACAGCAGCCCGCTGGTATTAAAGGGGTATGCTGCCACCACCGCCAGGCAGTTCATTATCTTTATATTAAACTTCACTCCATTTCTCAGGACATAGGCAAAATGAAGTCAGATTCTTTGCTAAAACATCACACAAGCAGGGCGTTGGTGGTGCATGTTTTTAATCCCAGCACTTGGGAAGCAGAGGCAGGCGGATCTCTGTGAGTTCGAGGCCAGCCTGGTCTCCAGAGTGCATGCCAGGATAGGCTCCAAAGCTACACAGAGAAACCCTGTCTCAAAAAACAAAAAACAAAACAAAACAAAACCAAAAAAACCACACACACACAATATTGTCTCTCACTTGGTTCCTGATACCATTCCTGTCCTCCTCTGAAACTAAACCAGTCTTCCTATATTATTTAGTATAATTAAGATAGTCCTTCACAGACGCTCTCAGAGGCCCTTCTCCCAGGTGACTCTATGTTGTGTCAAGTTGATGATTAAAATTAACCACCATAAAAACAAAGCAAAATGCCTGGTGGTGCTGGTACATGCCTTTAATCCCAGCACTTGAGAGGCAAAAACAAGCAAGCGGATCTCTGTGAGTTCGGGGCCAGTCTGGCCTACCTGAATGAGTTCTAGGACAGCTAAGGCTACACAGAGAAACCCTGTCTAGAAAAACCAAAAATAAATAAATAAAGCAAAGCAAAGCAGAACAACACTAGTCTGAGGATGTGAGACCAAAGGCCGGAGGCGGGGCCTGGAAAACACAGAGGCAGGACTTCTTGGGGGGGGGGGGGGGGGAGGGGGGCCCTCCAGTGTCAGCAGGGGAAAGTGACTCTTGGCGTTGTGTGGGTTTGGACATTGGGGTAGGAAATGCCTGTTCTAGCCCAAGCACCCGCTAGATGGCGCCTGCCTCCATGATGCTGCCAGAAGGACCCTGTACTAGTCTCAGCTCTGGAGTTTGTCTGTCAGGGAATGGTACTAATTTCAGCTAGGACGTCTCATGACATAGATGTGATGTGACTGCTACAGTGAAGCTAAAGCAGGAGAATGTCAGGTCGTACCCAGTGCTATTTGCCTGCTTCAGAGCTGAGCGAGTGGAGAAAGTTTGCATCCATGCCTTTGTGTACTCTGCCAAGTCACAGGCTAACTTGCAGAGGACCCACCCTTCTGTGCTCTCTCAAGGGGAAGAACCACGCCCACTGGGTTGTCTGTACCAGAGTATATAGACTAGGCCATGTGTTCAATCTGTACATTCAGCAAACCCTCATTATGTGAGGAGTGACAAGGCAGTGGATAAGGAAGTTGTAAGTCTCTCTCCCCATGGGAAGAGCTAACTAATGTGAGTGATAACAGGGCATTGTGTGAGGAGATTAGCCATGATCATGTCCTTACAGATTGTGGTAAGTGCCGGGAAGGAAGATGACCCAACAGCAGTGGGCTACTATGCTAGAAGTGGGCAAGGACTATAAAAGCCAGGAAAGCCTTGTAAAAAAAAAAAAAAAAAAAAAAAAAAAAAAAAAAAAAAAAAACTACAAGGAGGAGGAGCCAAGGGAGGGGAAAGCTGTGATGGATGGTAGTGAGAATTCTGGGAACCAAACCCAGGTACTCTACAAGAGAAACAAGTGCTCTTAACCACTGAGCCTTCTCTCCAGCCCTAATCTGTGTCTTTTTATAGTCTGCACTGGAGGTTGGATATGTTGTTCAGTTGGTATAGTGCCTGTCTAGAATATACAAAACCTTGAGATCAATCTCAAGTGGCACATAATATAGCCATATTGGGAGGTAGAGGCAGAAGGGTCTAAAGTTGAAGGTCATCCTTAGCTAGATAGTAAATTTGAGGGTGGCATGGGCTACATGAAACCTGTCTCAAAAATGGATAGATAGATAGATAGATAGATAGATAGATAGATAGATAGATAATAGATGGGTAGATACATTGAATAGGTAGATAGATTATAGGGAGACAGACAGACAGACAGACAGACAGACAGATAGGAAGATGGAAAATAAAGCAAGTCCTGGTTTTGTTTGGAGAATCAATGTCAGTTGAAGGGGACAGGAGTGGGGACAAGAAGAGAAGAAGATGGTTGTGTAATGAGAGATCACAGTAGTTAAGACCACAGTGGCTCATAAAGAAAGACGAACAACACAGAGATTTTTGGGGGAGTTAGAGGCAATGCAGTGCTTGGAACAAACCCAGAGCCTCACAGGCAAGCGTTCTATCATCAAGCTACACCCCCGGGGCAATATCCATCTGTAAGATTTATCTTGGAAGCAGACTCTAACCTTTTAAGATTAGTTGGATGTGGTGCTGAGAATAATTCAGGCTTGAGTGATGGGTGAAGCTGAGACCATGTGCCAGGATGAGGAGGCCTGGGGGAGGTGCTTCTTGGGTGAAGGTGTCATTAAGTATATCCTGCCGTGTGCTTGGAGTCATCTATATGACACCCTAGTAGAAAGACCTCCAAGCAGTTGGAGATTATCAGAAAGTTAAGGTTGCAGCCTCTAGATTACAGTCAATACTGTATGTGTGTGTGCGTGTGTGTGTGTGTGTGTGTGTGTGTGTGTGTGTGTGTGTAGAAGACCTCTTCAAACACCCTATAATCTAGATAGCCAAGGTTTAGGAGGCAGTGGGGAGCATTACTGTAGGAGGAGCTGACTGATGCTGGTCAAGGCTGCTGGAGAGAGGAGGCTTCCTAGACTGGAAGTGGAAGGAAGCCACCCAAGGGAAGTCAGAAACCCTGTGACACTTGGACAATGTGGAGGGGTTGGTCATACATAACTCTATTTCTTTGTCTGGCTAGAACCTCCTTTCTCAGTGGTACCCTTCCCCCATTGCCATATGGCAGGGCCCAGCTGCTCACAGATTCTGGGGAGAGATGAAGATGGGGCAGCCTCCGGGATAGGGCTGTAATTTCAGCTGGAAGCAAGGTTCCTGCATTTCTGCCTTCTGCTTCATGTTCTTTCCAGCATCTCCCATGTGACTATCTGGGCTGTGAGACTCCCCCAAACCCCAGAAGCTTCCCTTCCTCTCTCCAAGGAGGGCCAGGCCCATAGGTACCACCTGCTGACTCCCACCTGGAAAGGCATTGCCTCAGGTGGCACAGCATCCCTAGGGACAAGGGGGTAATTGAAGGGGGCTGCCAAGTTTAATTAGTGGTTGTGAGGTGTTGGAACCTGAATCTGAAAGTCCCCACACAGTGTCTTTCATCTTCAAAACCTCCCCCACCAGGCCGGATGAAAGGACCAAGCAGAGGCCAGGCATTAATAATAATTATTAGCTTCACTAATAAAGCGAAGAAGTGGGATTATAACCAAGCTCAATTCCTTCTCTCTTTGCCTTTTCTCTTCTTCCTGTTGCCCTTCCTCCCTTCCCTCCTCCTTTGTTTTTCTCAACATCACTCTGCTCTGTTTCTGTTTCAAGGCTTGGGGCTCTGACTCTTGGTCTCATCAGTCCTAGGGGTGTGCTAGGACATATCCAGAGAGAACAAAGAAGTGGAAGGAGGTGTGGGGCGGAAGGCAGCATGGTTTTGAGTATCCATGTTCTTTCACAGAAAGTTGTACAGAGCATATGTGAGACAGAGCCTTGCTATGTGGTCCTGACTGAAACTCACTATGCAACCTAGGCTAGCCTTGAACTTGCCCAATCCTCCTGCCTCCGCCTCCTCAGTGCCGAGATTACAGGTGTGTGCCAACAGGATCAGCAACAAAAGTCATTAAATACTTAGT